GAGGGAAGCATTCAATATGACACAGCACAAGAGATTTATAACCAACAATACTATGTAGGCAGCATAAACTAGACGATGTTAACACAGCCGCTGACCTCAACAGGCCTTGGTTTGTCCGCTGATCACAGACCAGGCATACGCTGTGCTGCTGACAGGAGAGGAAAAGGGAAAAGATATACTGCTTGGAATTGGACAATTGGTCGGCTGGGGGAAGTAAACAAAACATAGTGTTTTTGTGTTTGTATGGGAGTAAAAGGAAACCTTACACACTGATCTTTTCCACATTCTTTTACGTAACAACAATTACCTTCCATGTATTACACTGGCATGTTTTGTGCTAGACCACAGCAAAATATCACATCATCCTAAAAATGTAATGGAGATGCTTCAGACTTAGATTTAGAAATTTTGTTTTGTACAGCTCTCATGAAATTTCCATTTCTTAAAGTGTAGCAGTCATGAAATGTAAACAGTGTGGGAGAAAAAATGGTGTAAACAAAACACATTGATATGGAAGTTCAGAGCATTCAATATTTACCTTGCAATTATGAACTGTCTTGGTTTGGTATTGTCAGTTTGATGCAGTCTGTGACATGATTTAGTTTTTTTCAACAGTTCAGCTGCCTGATGGCGGCGGGGAAGAAGTTGTTTCCGAATCTGCTAGACCTACATCAGATGGTTCAAAGCCTCTTCCCAGAGGGCAGCAGGGAGAACAGTCCATTGTTGGGGTGTGAGGGGTCATTGACAGTGTTATGGGCTTGAGACACACAGTGCATGAATGAAATGTCTTTTATGGAGGGATGAGGAGCCCCGATGATACTCTCTGCTGTTCTCACCACTTTTCTCACCTTCTTCCAAATTCTTCATCGTTTTTTTTCCAAACAAAAATTGCAAACTTGTGGTAACATTAATATTTAGTTTAATCCATCTTCCTATCCCTGAAAAAAGGTATGGCAACAACATGAAGCTGCCATCATCATATTTCAAACAGAGCATAATGCTTTCAGGGTAATGTGCAATGGTAGTTTTCTGGCTGCAGTTGCTATGTCCTCTACATCAGCGGTCCCCAACCACCGGTCCATCGGTCATTTGGGACCGGGCCGCACAGAAAAAAAAATATATATATATATTTATATATAATTTATCGACGATCAGAGTCTGAGTGATGTTTTATTTTGAAAAATATTCTAAAAAAATGGGGTATTCTCTCCCAATTACCTGAATTAACCTGTGCCTCTTGACACAGGTTTTTATGCTGTTTGTATCTGATTTTATACAGTCTTATCATTTTATTTGATCCTATTTACCCCCCACACTTTAAATGCCGGTCTGTGAAAACATTGTCTGACATATAACCGGTCCGTGGAGCAAAAAAGGTTGGGGACCGCTGCTCTACATATCTGAGACTTTGCATAATTTTATGTCAAACCAAAAAGTCTGTTTTTATTGGAAAATACATAGGCATCCCCCACAAGATTATAAAATTATTTTTTAAAAGGTTTTTATACATTTATATTAAAACAAATGTCAGAAATAGTTTATAGCTTCTCTTTATTTTAATCTGTAGTCTATTCCAAAGATTTTGAGATTTAAATGGAATCTTTAGCTGAACAAATCAGAAGAAACCTGCTGATTAATAGTGTTCTTTGAAAATAAATCACTTTAAATCTAAACCAGGAATGGAAATATGTCTGAGCATAATTGCACCATAAATTGCCAATTAAATACATTCAACTTTGTTGTTTTATGTTTGTCCCATTAAAACAACAAAGTTGAATGTATTTGATTAAAACATACTATTAAAACATACTGCTTTAGTGAGGCACAGTAAAGTTACTACATATTATAAAAGAATGGAACATTC